GTGAAATTGACATTTGAGGCTGGAGGCCTAATGATCCTCAGGAGCTGACCAGTAGGCCCCCTGACATTAGAAAACAACAGTGACAAAAAGTTACAGGGTTCATTTCACCAGGCTATAGGGTGCTGGGAGAGAGAAATCATACAGTGCATAGCCTGAGGGTCTCATGACCCTCTGCATGGTAAAGGGACCCCTTGGGCTCCCAATCTTTCTGATGCACAAGCGTACCAGTAGCTCTTATTTAGAGTGCAAACAGAGTATATCATCCATTCCAATCTAGCATTCCCATACTCATATCCTGTTACTATAGTGATGCTTTCTCTTAGGTCATTAACCTCACTAATCACCACTTTGGAAGGTTTATTTTCTGAATTTAGGGGGCGTATAGGATCTGATAAAGTGAAGAGGACTTGAAACATTTACTTATGAAGATCAAAGAGCACAACTTCTAACCAGCCACAGCATCTCTCAAAAACTGGTAGGTATGATACAGTATTCTCACACAAAATCACACATACAGGAAAGTAGACACCTTATACATTCACATAAAAACTAATGCAGGAGTGTTTACAATTGTTTTATTCCTAGAACAGTTCAGAAAAACACTGTTCCAGTTATAAATAAACAAAAAGTTAAGAATGGAATTGAATACTTCACAGTAACAACAAAAAACAAGCTATGGTTGTATTGAACAATATCCAGAAACTTCAAATCCATGATGCTGAACAAAGGCATCGAATCAAATTGCTATTAACTGAATGACTAGTAGAGACTGTTGTCAGGAATTCACACTGAGGGGAGGTTTGAGTAAGAAAGGGCAGCATTATGATTACTTGGTAGGAACCATTATTCTGACCTTACCTTGTGGCACTGATTTTATGTATTGTGTGTCAAAATTAATTATACAGCTTTTCAAAATGACATTACCAGTGAAAATGTTTGAAATCTATGCAAGCAAAGAGAAATGCTCTTAGAAAAACTGAAAATCAGGGCGTATCAAGTGACTAAAGAAATGACACATGTATTTTACTTCTGTTAAACCTTCTCACCTGTCTCCAAATATCTGAGGGAAAAATGAGGGAATTTTCCTTATATTAATGAGGTCCCATTCCACCATTCTTATATATCTATCTAGAATTGAGGGTTAATAGACTATTTTCAGCGTTGCTTAGATTCATACAGTTCTGTCTCCACTGTGCGAGTTTATATGCCACGTGAGCTCTGATGATAAGCCAAAGGCTTCCGAATGTTCCTTCCATTGATAAGGCCTCCCTCCACTGTGAGTCTCCGTGTTGAGAACTGACTAGAGTGTTGGCCACGTGCCTAACTTTATAAGACGTCCACTATGTGCTCTTTTATGAGGACTAAGCTGTTAGGACTGGACAAAGGCTATACTTCTCTCCATGAGTTCTGAAGACATCCCTCATTATGAGATGTCATTTGTGCCCTGAGGTATGAGGTGTCAGGAAAGACTTTCCCATATTCGTTAACATCCACAAGGCTTCTCTCCATAGTGTGTTCCTTTTCACTGTAGTGAGAGTTGTCAAAAGACCACATTTCTTACATTCTTACCACCTGTCTGTACTGCGAAATCGTACATGTGTGAATGTGAGCCAAAAATTATTTACACCATGGTTATATAAAAACTTCTGCACGATGCAATGTCTTATCAACGCTTTTCTCTCAAGGTCATTTACTGTGCAGTTGTGAATGTGAGACATCTGAAA